ATTCGTGAGCCACACAAAATTATCAACTGAAAACCTAGCCTGCTGTATTTGGTCAAACACATCATGAACTCAGCCCTCACGTGGTCTCTGGAACTAACTCTGGTGAGGGATGTGAGCTTAGCTTTTACAGTCCTTACACGCCCTAGGCAAGGACACTCCCCAGCCCTGCTCTGAAAGCATCCCCCAAAAGGACTGCTGTTGAGTTGACTCAGACTCATCACAACCCCACAGGACAGGGTAGAACTGCCCCCTTGGGTTTCCAAGGCTGCAAATATTTACGAGAGCAAAAAGCCTCATCTTTCTTCTGAAGAGTGGCGCCGGGGTTCCAACTGCTGACCTGTAGGCCCGCACATAGCCCACTACGCCACCAGGGCTGTTCCCCAAAAGGAAAGAGCCCTCTAATTCCAGAGTTCCTCCAACAATAAGCCCCCAACTCATGGTGCTCCTGTTACAGCCCCTTGTTTCTAAGTATAAAGTTAGATAATTATAAAGAATTCCATAATCCCATATCCCAATGCCATTTTACAATAAAATTATCAATGATTTTCTTTATTATTATGCTATTTTTCCCTTTACCTCTCCCTAACCCAGACTAAGGAACTCTGGTTGTGTGGTGGTTACATGCCGGGCTGCCAACCTCAAGGTCAGCAGTTACAGACCAACAGCTACACGGAAGAAAGATGAGGCTTTCTACTCCGGTAAACAGTTAAGGTCTCGGAAAGCTGAAGGGGCAGTTCTACCCTTTTACCTTTTTTTTTTTTTTCCTACCCTTTCTTATATGGTCGCTATGAGTCAGAATTGACTCGATGGCAGTGAGTTGAGTTAACCCAGATTTCACCAGGGCATTCTTATGAACCCCAGAGAGACCTGGCAGCAAGAAAGTGCTCAATGTGTTGAAAGAGCAGAGGAGGGAGTGAGTGAGTGAGTGAGTGAGTGAATTCATCTTTCCACCTTCTCATTTTACCTGGAATCCCAGTTAGAAGGAAAGGCTTGGAAGTCAAATATGGATGGGCACAGGCTATAGACAAGAGAATTTCTGCTCAAGTTGCCCTGGGGCAATTCACGTAAGAGTAGATGTCTCCTCCTGGTAGACTTCTACTTGACCGAGCTAACAAGTCCAAAATATATGAGAGGAAGTCTTGACATCTTCACTTCTAAGAAGCATACTGGCTGGTCTTCTTCCAAGACAAAGTTGTTTGTTTTTTCTGGCAGACAATAGTACTTTGAATACGCTTCACCAACATCGAAATTCAACTGCATTATTTTTTTCCTGATGTTTTCCTTATTCATTGCCCCCAACTTTCATATACATATGAGATTATTTAAAATACGAAGACTTGAATCCATTCCAGGAAGTTGAGTAGCATAGTGGTATATGCATTGTGCTGCTAACCACGAGGTCAGCAGTTCAAGTCCACAAGCCATTCCAAGGGAGAAAGATGAGCTCTGTGCCCTGGTAAAGATGTACAGCTCTGGAAATATCCACGGGCAGTGCGACTCTGTCCTATAGTGTCTCTGTCAGTCAAAATCAACTTGTCGGCAGTGAGATTTTTGTTTGTTTTCGGTTTGGGGGTTAAGGGACAGCTTAGTTCTCAAAGTTGTATCCTTGTTCTTCAACACTTTAAAGAGACCTTCTGTAGCAGATTCGTCCTCTAAAATACATAATTTGATTATTTATTGCTTCCATGAGTATTGATCGTGGATCCAAGCAAAATGGAATCCTTGACGTTAATCTTTTCTCCATCTATCATGATGTAGTCTATTGGTCCAGCTGTGAAGATTTTGGTTTTCTCTACATGGAGTTACAGTCCACATGGAGGCTGCAGTCTCTTATCTTCATCAACAAGTGCCAGCAGTCTTGGAAAGCCACCTGTGCAGGTCTGCTCTGTCCTATAAGGTTGCTATGAGTTGGAATTGACTTGGCGGCAGTGGGTCACCTTGTTTCAAGACCTATGACTCCAATGAGTTTAATGGCTTCAGATATACACTTCACCACCCGTCGGTCAGGTTGTTGTACTGTGGCTGCGATGCTGCAAGCTATATCCCAGGTACTTCAAAACACCAGCAGGTTACCAGAGGTGAACAGGTTTCAGCAAAGCATATGGACTAAGAACAGGCTAGAAGAGGAATAGGCTAACCATGTCTGAGAGATCTGCCACTGAAACCTTGCGAATAGCAGCAAAACTGGGTTCAAATCAGGGCCTGCCATTAATGGACTGTAGCTTTGGGCAAGTTACTTAGCTTCTTCCCAGAGCAAAACAACACCCACTTTTTTTGGTAGCGACTCTCAAACTTTAGCTGCATCAATACCACCTGGGTGCCTCTCCTAGTTTCATAGGTGTGGCGAGGCTTGATAAATTACATCTCGAACTAGTGCTCAGGTTCAGGGTCAGAGGAAGAAAAAGCAAGATGGATTGACACAGTGGCTGCAACAATAGCTTCAAACCTAAGAACTTGTGAGGATGGTGCAAAACCAGGTAATGTTTCGGTGTCGTACACACAGTGGCTGTGAGCGGGCACTCACTTGACTGGCACCTAAAGGTCCTAACCACACTAACCATGTGCTGCTGCTGCCGCCGGGACCACACTTTATTTATTTTTTTGCCGGGACCACACTTTAAAAGCACCCCTGTTCTAGGATGTTCTGAGTCTGATGTGAAACACTTGGCACAGTGTCTGGCACGAGGCAGGTGAAGCCGCGGAGAGCATTCTGGCCCAGAGGTCGCCCCAACAAGGGAGCCCACGAGGCCGCGGCGTGCAGACCCAGCTGCCGGCGTGCGAGGGGCGTGGCAAGCAGGCAGCCCTAAGTCTGCGTGCGAACGCGAGTGGGGGCGGAGCCAAACGTCCGCGCCGGCGTAAGGGAAGGGGGCGTGGCTCCGGCCCCGGGCCGGAAGCGGGAGCCTGCCGGGCGGGCCGACTGGCAAGCCCCTTTCCGGCTGTTCCCTATGGAGGCGCTGGGGAAATTGAAGCAGTTCGATGCCTACCCCAAGACTTTGGAGGACTTCCGGGTCAAGACCTGCGGGGGCGCCACGGGTAGGCTGCATCGGGCCCGGGTTGTGGGGAGAGGGGTCCCCTAGAGCTTGGACCAGGTGCCTGGACTCTGACCGGCCTGCTAGGGGCAGAGGGACCCAAACAGCATCTTCTGACCCTCACGCCTCACCCTGCAGTGACCATCGTCAGTGGCCTTCTTATGCTGCTATTGTTCCTGTCCGAGCTGCAGTATTACCTTACCACGGAGGTAAGGGGCGGGGCCTAGAACCTGGGCGGGGCTTGGCATTCCAAGGGTAGCACCTGTGGAGGTGGGAACGCAGGAGGAGAGGCCTGGGGCCAGACCTTACTGAACTAGCGCTGTCCCAGGTGCATCCTGAACTCTATGTGGACAAATCGCGGGGAGATAAACTGAAGATCAACATCGATGTCCTTTTCCCGCACATGCCTTGTGCCTGTGAGTACCTTACCAAGGGTGGACGAGGCAAGGCCCCGGGTTCTTAGATGGGCTTCCCGATCCAAACGTCCAGTCTCAGGTTCTGGACCGGACCCCACGACAGCCTCTTCCTCAGATCCCTAACGGTCCCAAGACAGGCCAGCACCCCTTTCCCCTCCCAAACCCAAATTTCCTCGCCGCTCGGACCCCGGCCCCTTAGCCTGACTTCCTGCTTCCAGATCTGAGCATCGACGCCATGGATGTGGCTGGGGAACAGCAGCTGGACGTGGAACACAACTTGTTCAAGCAGCGGCTGGACAAGGACGGCGTCCCCGTGAGCTCAGAGGCAGAGCGGCATGGTAACCAGGGGACGGGGCCTTGCCATTCCCTACCTTCTGGCAAGTCAGCTGGGCCAGTCTCAGCAGTGAACCAGGCAACTAGGACCCAGAGAGGGTCTGCCGCCCCGCCCAAGGTCCCCTGGTCAGTGTGCTGAAATTCAGGCCTCTGGCCTGGGAGGACTCCCTCCTCCTGGCTGTCATTCTGAGAGGTCCCCAGCCCCTGACTTTGGTAGTCTGAGTAACAGAAGCTTGTAGATGAGTCTTGTGTGCTGTTGTCCTGGTGGCACCCCTCCCTCCCCCAACCCCAAGGTGGTATCAAGCCTTTCTGAGTGTTTACTTTCCCAGCCCTTTGGCTAAATGTGGACCTTCGGATTCTCCTTTGGATTGGATGGTAACTCAAAGAGTGTAGACTACAGAGTCAGACTGCCTGGGTTCAAATCCTGCTGTTTTGTGTAATCTGTGAGCGCTGGCAGTACAGTAGTGATAACCATTCGCAGCCTGTGGAAATCAAATGAGATAATATATGTAACGTGCCTGGTACAAAGGGGTGCTTGCTTCCCTTTCTCTAGGTTGTCTCCCAGTGTCTCCATTAGCCCACTCCTCTGTTGTAGCACAACCCTCCTCGGAACTAGGAATGATCAGACCACAGGGATTGCCCCGGTGGGGAACTTTCTCATTTGCTCATCCAATGGAAATATATGGGGGCGTCAAGAAGATTGTGAAAAAAATTCCTTTATCTTTTCATTCCACTTTTCTGTGAACTTTTTGAAGCCTCTCTCCCTATATGTTGAATATCAGAACTAAAAGAATATTTTTTTAATATTTGTGGTTTCTAAAAATTTACATAGCAAATTTGGTTCCTATTCAACAATTTATACACAAGTTAATCAGTGGCATCTTCACAGTGGGTTAGCATTTCCATTCTGGTTGTTCCATTCCCAGGTATCTGGTTTCCCTGCGCCCTTCTCTTCTCCTTTTCTTTAAAGTAGTTGCTGACGTGCTTGCTTCGGCAGCACATGTACTAAAGTAGTTGCTGACAATGTGGTCTCCAATAGATGATTTGCTTTTAAAGGAGCGGCGGTGCTCACAGGTGATTTTCGTTATTCTCTGTGATTTAAGGAAAAGGTGACCTCGGGATATAGTTTCTGTTTAAGATTTAGAGTATCTCAGGGCCTTAGTAAGTCATCTACTCTTAACTGATCCACAGGCTGGACTTATTTTTCTCCCATGCTGTCAGATTGCATCGTGTGTGGCCCTGCTCATAATGAATGGTAGGCCATCTAGTTGTTCTGGTCTCAGAAGAAACCATGGTTTGTTTAGACTGTTTTTTTCCTCAAGAGTCTTAGGTTACCTTTTTCTATCTTTTCCTCTAGATAAATAAGACACCAGTAGTTCTATTCTAAATGGCCACTTGCAAGCTTCTAAAATGCTGGATTCTACTCTCCAACCTCGGATATAGGACAGAAACATTATGAACTTTTTTACATTAATTGATCAAGTTGCCTCATGAATCTATGATCTTTATCCTTGAAAACCAGAAAAGCAATCCTATGAGGTATTTTGTTAAATATGAGAAATATCTGTAACAACATGTCACATACTTATATATAGGTGGATGTATGTGCAGCCCCACAAATGCATGGCTGTACATATGAGAGCAAGTAAAATACCATGGCTACAAGGTTTCATTTCAGCCATCCATAGGCTTATTCCAAGCAAAATGTTTTTAAACATTTCTCTGATCACTAGATGCCTGTTAGACATGTTCTTTCAGTAATGCCCTTGTCTTACTTTTATTCCAAAACTTATTGTCAAAATTCACTGTTGAGATTTTAACTCATATAAGACAGACTAGAATTGCCCCCTTTGAGTTTCCAAGGCTGTAAATCTTTACAGGAACAGAAAGACTCATTTTTCTCCCACAGAGCAGCTGCTGGTATTGAACTGCTGACCTTATGGTTAGCAGCCCAGTGCACAACCACTAGGACACCAGGATTCCTTTAGTTTCATTAGGGTGTCTTTAAAAGAAAAGATCTAAGTGGGTCCACTGGGCCCGTTAAATTCAAGGCAGAGAGGTCAATGCAGAAGGTTATGGCAATTTTGGCAGGTGGGGTGGGGGGTGGCCACGGAGATTCCAAAGAAAGACTCTGCATGGAGTTTCTCCAAGGACACGGGACTACCATGGGAACTTAATGAACTTTTCAGAAAACTGAAAGTTACACTGGTGAGGAAAAGGCCGTCAAAGTTGCTCTAGGGATTTCTTTCCCCATCCCGCAGCGCACCTGCTCCTTCTCCAAGGGTAGCAAGGGCTATCTTAGGAGAATTTCTTTGGGAAACCTTATCCACCCCCCACCCCCTAAGGCCTGATCTTGCCCCTTCCGATTTCTTTTTGTTCCCCAAACTCAAAACATCGGAAAGGAACACAATGCGAGTCCTTTGAAGAGGCCCAAACTGCTGTTTTGACACAGTGTAAATTGAAAAGCACAGAATTTGTTGGGGAAAAGTTAGAGAGAAACCTCCCTTTAACAATATATAGGCCTAGATGAAGGATATGTCCAGAAGTAATACCTTTATATTTTGACCATTTTTTAAAGTAGTCTACATTTCTCGGTGTGTTTTTAAAATCATTTTATTAGGGGCTTATACAACTCTTAGCACAATCCATACATACGTCAATTGTGTAAAGCACATTTGTACAGTCATTGCCCTCATCATTCTCAAAACATTTCCTCTCCACTTAAGCCCCCGGCATCAGGTCCTCATTTTTCCCCTCCCTCCCGGCTCCCTCCTCCCTCATGAGCCCTTGATAATTTATAAATTATTATTTTGTCATATCTTGCCCTGTCCGACGTCTCCCTTCACCCACTTTTCTGTTGTCTGTCCCCCCAGGGAGGAGGTCACATATAGCTCCTTGTAATCGATTCCCTCTTTCCAACCCATTCTCCCTCTACCCTCCCAGTATTACCACTCACACCACTGGTCCTGAAGGGATCATCCACCCTGGATTCCCTGTGTTTCCAGTTCCTATCAGTACCAGTGTACATCCTCTGGTCTAGCCAGACTTGCAAGGTAGAATTTGGATTGTTTGTTTGTTTTTATATAAATCATTTACTGGGGGTTCTTAGAATTCTTATAACAATCCATACATCAGTTGTATCAAGCACACTTGTACATATGTTGCCATCATTTCCAAAACATTTTCTTTCTATTTGAGCCCTTGGTATCAGTTCCTCTTTTTTCCCCTCCCTCCCCCACCTTCCCACTTTCATGACCCATTGATAAATTATAAATTATTATTCTTCATATTTTACACTGTCCACTGTATCCCTCACCCACATTTCTGATGTTTGTCCCCCTCAAGGGGAGGGGGTATTATACATCAATCATCGTGATCAGTTCTCCCCTTTTCCCCCCACCTTCCCCTTATCGCTCATGGTATCGGTACTGCCAATACTGTTCCCAAGAGGTTTTTCTGTCCGGGATTCTGTGTGTTGAGAACTCTTATCTGTACCAGTGTATATGCTCCAGTCTAGCTGGATTTGTAAGGTAGAACTGGGGTCATGATAGTGTGGCGGCGGGGGGCATTTAAGAACTAGAGGAATGTTGTGTGTTTCATTGGTACTATACTGCACACTGGCTAGCTGGCTAGCTCATCCTTTCCTTGTGACCCTTATGTGAGAAAATGTCCTGTTGTCTTCAGATGGGCTTTGGGTCTCCACTCTGACCCTGTTCGTTCACATCAATATGATTGTTTATTTGGGGTGTTCTGATACCTGATACCAGGCTGCTGTGCTTCTTCCATGTGGGCTTTGTTGCTTCCTTGCTAGATGGCCGCTTATTTAATTTTAAAGCCTTTAAGACCCACAGACACTGTATCTTGTAATAGCTGGACACCATCAGCTTTCTTCACATTTGACTTCAACAATCATGCGGGGGCGGGGGAGGTAAGCATCACAGAATGCCAGGTTATTAGAACAAAGTGTTCTTGCAATGAGGGAGACTTGAATAGAGGCGTAATGGCCATCTGCTACCTGATGCGTAACCTATAAATAATGGACATAGACCGATAACCCCATCGTTATATGTTAATATATTTACATATATACATGTAACTTACACTCAGCAAAATGGCCTTGCAAGGAATCAGTTCACAATTACTCACAGGGAAATCCTATTATCAGTATCTTCCCTTCCCTTCCTACTAGACCCATGAAGGGAAAGGTCATTTGGTGGGAGGTACGTGGTGCAATCCAATTTCACCAAAATGTAATCATCTGTCCTATACTTCTGGACTGTCTCTTATTTATGCAGATGTGACCTGGGGCCTCTGGCAAGATGTTTCTGGCTGGCACTGGCCTCCTGCTCATCTTAATCAGCCAGGCTTCTTCCAGGCCACTCCTGAAACAGTTTTCTTTCTCCTCTCAGTGGTAGCTTGTACTTCCTTACATGTGCTGGAGATAATCATAACTAAGATAGCCAATAAAGAGTGTGATCCAACTCACACCCTCTACTGAGTTCAGAACACAGTCTCATCCCATTCCTAATGTGCTCCCGCAGGGGAGCACCACCACCAGCATATGAAATCACAGAAGGATGAAGGCTGGAAGGGCCAGATTAATGGAGTATATATATGGCTCAGTACAGGAGAACAGCTATAACAATGGACTGTGGGATTTAAGACGAGGACAGCAGAGAGGACTTGAGGGGGTGACAGTGCCCACAGAGTTCCAGAGATCGTGAACTGGAAAACTAGGAATTCATTGAAGAGCGAGAGACTTGAATTTAATGTTGCAAGAATTGTACTTGTTGATAATGGTAAGATCTAGAGAGGAGAATGGAGATGGGCGGCTGAAGTGGGACGACAGAGTAAAAAGATTCTTAAGAGGAGGGAGGCCAGATAAACAAGCAGCCATCTCACTGAAAAGCAACAAAGCCCATATGGAAAAAGCACACCAGCCTGTGCGATCATGAGCTGTCGATAAGATCTGGTATCAGGCATCAAAGACCCAGAACTAAAAATCATATCATTGTGAATGAGGGGGAGTGTGGTATGGAGACCCAAAGCCCATCTGTAGACAGTTGGACATCCCCTTGCAGAACGGTCACAAGGAAGAGATGAGCTAGTCAGGGTGCAGTATAGCACTGTTGAAACATACAATTTTCCTCTAGCTCAGTGGTTCTCAACCTGTGGATCGTGACCCCATTGAGGGTCGACCCCTTTCACAGGGGTCGCCTAAGACCATCGAAAACCATATTTCGGATGGTCTTAGGAACTGAGACATCGCTCCTCTATCTGTCTCCAGGCAGGTCCACCCACATGCAGATACGCTCACATACTAGTATCCGGTGTGAAGACTGTCACCCATGCTACACCATGCTTCAAGACAAAATTTCATTTATTTGTAATTAGAAATATTTCACAATATATAATTACATATTGTTTTTGTAATTCAGCACTATACTTTAATGGTGTTCAATTTGTAACAATGATAATATATCCTGCCTATCAGATATTTACATGAC